TTGTGTTTCAGACTTATGTACATTTATGACTTAAGTCGTTTTAAAATGTTTTTAGAACGAGTACATACGGTAACTTACAACACGTTTGCTTTCTTCGTCAAAATATTTCTCGATAAACGGATAGCTGAAGGCGCCACCAATGTAATTGTTTGTTTTGTCGACACAAAACTTCCACCGTGACGGTTCCCTCTCTTCTCCTCTTGTGATTCGAAGATATTTCTGGTAAAATTCACGTTCGTTTTCTCCGAGATGAAGAGTGAAGTCCATAACTAGTCTAGCCATCAGATAATTGGCAACTACTCTACAGTAATAAATAATAAATAAATTGGGCAAAGGGAGGCAAACGTGGTAGTCACGACCCTATGGGCCATGCAGTGGCATATCTAGAGGTGGTTGGGTTTGGGGGTGATACCACATTTTGTCTAATCAATAAATGAAAATAAAATTTCTGTCATTCTGTCAAGGTTTTATAATTAGCTGGCTACTGCCAGGGGCGCGGGCGTCCCCTTTTCACATTTTTCACACCCACCTAATCCGCAATGGCACATCACTTTTATCAGGACAGGAATTCGATCGATTTTGAATGCCCGTGCAAATGAAGGTATATTATTATTTATATACAGGACCACTTGTAATCATTTTCATACAATATATATTGATTAAATTTATATTTTTTAAATAAAATTCTTCGTATATTATAAATGTGCAATATTTATATGATTAATTTGACATGAAAAAAAAAATACTTCAACAAATAAAAAAAGAATGTTCATAAGCAATATTTTCCTTGAGCCATTGAACAGTATATAGGCCTATGTAGGAGTTTTCAAACTAGTGATTTTGACTTATAATTTTCCCAGTATATCATTTGGACTACCTTTTGGGCGTCTTCTCAAGGACAGCTCCTATTTTCTTCATAAAGGGAACAGACCAAACAACAACATATTCATCATATCCTTTTAGATCCACAGATGTTCCTTCAAAAACACCTTCAAGGTATCGAAGCCAGTCAATCTGCAAGTACAATAAATAGCAATTGCTTGGTGTTCGGTGCAGTCTACATTGTATTATCTTAATCGTCACAATTTGTTACAAATGTAATGTGTCTGGTCATGTGTTTCATATAGGCCTATATCACATAATACGGAATAACCTCCGAGTTAGCATCCGTGAATCAATAAACTTGGTTGATTTTAAAAAAGCTTTTAAAAACACATATGTTCCCGAAAATTTAGGTCTGTTTTAGAATCTTAACTTCTTATTTGTAATAATTTTTGGTACTTTGTTTTATGATATTGCCGATTTAACTTGAATTTTAATGATCTGCTTTTACCTTTTACAGTGTATTGATAACTATGTTTTAATGTGTACGGCGCTATTGTCTATTTTGGAAGGGTGCCTAATAAATGATTATTATTTATTAAATACGTATTCAAAACTGGATTGGAATTTCTTTATTTTAGATTATTTCTTTGTATCTATAGTTTATATAAAACATAAAAATTCAAAATGGTGCCGGTGATTTTGTTCAACTTTCGTAAAAGGTAGCTACGTCGTAAAACTCTGTGAGTTTTTCTTGCAGAACTTATTGTAGCCTCCTTCCATACAAGTTATTTGTTTCAATTATTTTATTCTCTATCTTATTTTATTTTAGATAACGTCTTTGCAATTATAGTTTATATAAAACATAACAATTCAAAATGGTACCAGTCATTTTTTTCAACTTTTGTAAAAGGTGTCTACGTCCTGAAGCTGTGTACGTTTTTCTTAAATATTTATAATTATCTTTATTTAACACTAGTGGAGGTGCATCTGCATACCACAGTTATTTTCATGTAGGCCTATCTTATTTTGTTACTGCCTTTTAAAAATAAAGCATTTGATTTGCTTTGAATTGTATACATACGGTATATTATAACAAAGTACACTTGGTTATGACAAGAATGAATGTCATGTAGCATTTTCTAAATTTCCGTGAAATGAACAAAAAAAAAAAAAATCACAGAGAACAAGAAGGCGGAATCAATATATCCAACTTTAGATTTCACTAACATCGTACGGGTGGTTCAAAACAGACTCCTGGCAATTAAAACAAACAAAAACAATAATTTCAAGCTTTATTAATATACATACG